AGCAAGCACCCTGGGAAGGCTTTCGTGTTTTTTTCCAAGCCCATCTGGGACCTGCAGCAGATACGCTTGCGGCACTCGACAGAGCAGAAACATGGCCAGCGAGGCACGCAGGGCTCCCCCCTTTCCTCCAGCTTTCACTAAACAGAGTCTTCCTGGCTTATTACTCTCTCCCCGCAGCAAACATTAACAGAAGCAGCACAGAAAAACCTCGCTGCTAAGGATTAAGAACATCAGTCCTGACCTTCTCTCGATGTGGAAGGAATTCAAGTGGGCCCTCAGGAAAATGAAAGCAGGATTTATTTTAAATGGACATTTTATGAAAATGACTGTGGTTTCCAGCTTGTCAGATAAATAGCCTTATTCACCTTGCCGTGCCTTTGAAGCAGGTATTGTTCTGGAAGTGTTGTGGCACATGACTTTTGCTAGGCATACTTTCTAACTGTGCTGATACTACTGCAGAATATTATAAAAGGCGATTGTTCCCCAGAAAGGTCCATAAGCTGTGATTTATTAGTGAAATACCAAACCTGGGAAATAAGGCAAAGGTCTCAGGAGTGCAGGGTAAAGTAAATAGCATGACAGAATACACATAATGAGTGCTAGAAAAAACAACAGAAACACGCACACACAGAGAAGACACAAATGCATTCCTCTCCTTGATGGTATTAAACATTGTCAGATAAGAAATATAGTCTGCAAGTGACTGAGGAATATGCTTTAATGATATGAATACATATCGACCATCAGATAAATGACAATATGATGCCAATTACAGCACAAATTAAAGTCATAATAATTTGGTATAAAATGCCTTGTCTTGGCTAAAAAGCACTATGCAGAGAAATGTAGTACATTAAAATTAGGCCTGAAGTAAAAAACAACCAACTGTAGCATATGAAAGAACAGGATAATAATATGTATCTCAGTTGCATGTAATGAATATAACCTGAATATCATCAGTTTCCTCTACCATATGTAGCCATGTCACACATAGGAGCAGCAAAGCACAGCCTTTAGAAAGGTATATCCTAGAGGACACTAGAGAGTTTGTTTTTATAATTGATGTGAAATAGAAGTAGCACTTCCTCCTCAGACACGAGCAACATCATTACATGTTCCTGCTGAACAAGTAGAAAGCGCTGTGAACCGCCTTAAGGTACCCTCATAGCACTGGTCATGAGTATTAATGCAAGACAAGGGCCAAGCAGTAGGAGGTGCAATAAATTCCCCCAGACTAGTCAGGTACGAAAGCTACTGTTTCAAATTAGTTTTCCAGATCATCTTGCTCTGAATTACCCTATCACATACACATGAGTTTTCCCACCATCAGCCCTCCCCACATATCAGGTACCACATAGAAAGTGGAATCTGATCCATCATGTGCTACGTACATACCTTCACAGCTACAACTACAGGACCAGCTGCATTTTAATCACCCTGCTAATTAAGCAGCATTTTCAATAGCATCCCCAGCCTTTGGCACAGCCCCAGCATGCTGGTCGAAGCCCAACCAGACTGGGTGAGGAAGTTCACCACAAAGAGCTGAGCAGAATCTGAGAATTTCAAGATTTTCCAGTGACTCTTGGTGCCTTGGCTAAAACAGCTCAAGAGAGGCCAATTTGCAGAGCACGCTGGGCATCTGCGTGGTGAAAAATCAAGTCTCAAAAGGTTTCAAAAAGCTGCTTAACGAAGGACCGCAACTTTGCCACATTAGTCACTGTGAAAAAATCTTGGCCAAAGATGACAGCAAGGTCCTTTACTCCCACAGTGGGAGATGTGCCGAGGAGCAAGCCTCTTCTTTACTCCCGTCAGGCCTCCTGAAGGCAGACATCAGTCACCACGTGTGATAGGGATGGCTGCAGAAAGAGACGAGCACGGCTGTGCATCTAAACACTGAGCAGAGCAACAAGTCCTTCTCGAGGAGCTGCTCACGGGGAGCTTTTTGGCCAGTAAGTAAGACTGTTTAGCACTATACACATGAAATAACCCAGCGAATGGAAGTTATATACAAGGAATTAGGAAAGCCATTTTTCAAGCAACTTTTTCACTATGCAAGAAGGAGAACAGCAGCAAATGTGCACAAGGAAGATGAGGAGGGAAGTTTCTCTCTCCAAATAATAACGAATTGGAGAGCTGCCTTCTCTGTTTCTGCAGTTTTCAGCATAAAAAACCCCATCTAGTAAGAGACATGTTCCAAACAAAGCACTGTTTCTTCTCCTTCTGAGGTATAATAACATTCACAAAATGACATGGAACAAGAAAACTTCATGCCTTAGATGTCCTTTATCAGCACTACACATACATGCCAACAAGGTTATTACCCTAATCAAACACGTCAGCAACAAATTAGCCCTGTTTAAAATTCAATGGCAACAAAGGCAGAAATCCAATACATGCATTCTCTAATTACAGTCCATGTAATATATTCTGCGAGTCTCCTGTGATCTTGTTTTGTGGATGCACACACATTGTCTCTTGCCACTGAAAATCAGTTCAGTGTTCACTGCACAAATGTCCTCACTTGTGCTAAAATCATTTCTAGCATTTCCATTCTCCATGCCACAGAAAAGGGAAGTGTTAGTGCCAATGAGAATGCATATGAGGTTTTGTCCTCTCATACCCCTCCACACCTACACGCTCAAATGAAAGGCACACAAACTGCATGTCTGTTCACTCTAAAACCATTCCTTAGAAAATTGCAAGCTACTGCTTTGCGATTAGATTTTGCAATGAAAAAAGGAGAGAAAAATGGCTGCCAAAACAGTTTTGTGTGTTTGCTTCAAAACAAAAGCAGAACATCTTGCACTTTATAAAACACTAAAAATCAACTAATGCATCTTATGCAGCCTACAAGGTGCAAAATACTGAGAAATAGCCTGTCTGGGGCTTGACTGAAGGATGGTCTGTCTTGAGGAGTGCAGTATCATATGAAAGACCACTGCTGTTGCATTTGGGAAGCAGCTTTCTTATGAGACTAATATAATGAACTGTGTCTGCAGTTCATGTGTCCTGAATTTCCCGTTCCTCACTGTATAATACGTTCCTGAGAGCATCCAAAGCTGAAGAGGATAATTTATTTCCAGGAAATATGCTTCTTCCTACTGTTTGCTTTCCTTAATAATTCATGCTACTCAGCACAACACACTCATCTTTATACCACTAGTTGGGTTGTTAGGAGTGTCGTTAAAAATAAAATAGAATATAGTCTCAGAAATTTAGAATTTCCTGAAAAGCAGAATACTTTGTCTAATTATACCTAGGGCTGGGGGAAGCAAGTCCAAATTGACCCCCAGGAAGCACTGTTCCACTTGCACAGTGGGTTTGCTGGGAGGCTGCATGCAGGGACTGGTTAGAGCACTTTGTCAAGAATAGGTGATGGTTCTGGTTTTACTTGGATTAGACACAAAAGCAGACCACTTCAGATCAAATTTCTTCTGTGTTTGGGGTTTCCAAGGATAAACACAAATGAATCTACAAGATGAATTTCAAAGCATCCAGTAAGTAAATGTCTGGAGAGTGAAATTCATGTTGCTTAATGCAACATTAACAATGGTTAAGAGCAAAGCAGTAAACTTATTCTCACAAAAAATTAGAAGTTGCAGTTTCAAATCAAACAGTGTTATTCATAAATCCAGACCAAATTGTTTTGCCTTTAAGAAAAAAAAAAAAAAACAGACTGAATAAAAATATGATAAAATCTAGGCATTTAATGCACAAAGTGTTTTGAAATATTTTGTTTTGCAGTTTGACAGAAGACAAACAATTCAATTACCCAAAGGAATCCTTCTGGATTATTGTTTTACCCAAAATAAAATAACAGAAAGTGTTTTTGGATAATCCTGAAAGATTTTTTTTTCCAGCAAACCAACAACATTAATCTTACATGTAGTACCAATTCTGACAACAGGAGAAGAAACAAAAAGCAACTGAAACTTCAAAGAACACAGGATAAGATGTTTCAGAAGTGTTCAGTACTGGAGCTAGTAAGAATTTTATCACTAACTTCCCTGGGAACAGGGAATATTTCTAGCAGTGAGTAATGAAAGCAGGAGGAATGTACAACCTGCAGGTAGAACTAGAGAATACCTAAGTGGGTATTTTCCCATATTTCCCAAATGACTCTGCAGTCTGGTTCATTTTCTGTCTCTGATCAGGAACACAGGGAAGACTGCCAGGGTAGACTGAAGCGTGTACGTGACCTGCACGTTTTAGCTTAGCAGGTATTAAACACCTGTCACTCCCCTACCATGCTTCTCAGTGATATGCGTGTTTAAGGAAGAGAAACATTTATACTGTTTAAAAAATGGCTACCAACGCCTTTCCTAAAGAAGGTTCCACAAGACAACTGAGGGAGGAATAGTTTGTAACTCCCTAAGATCCACAAAAGACCCTCTTCCACGTAAGTGCATATCTGATCTCTGACAAGTCTAGTACAACCTCACTTTCCTGTAATACTGAATTGTGAAGCATGGTTTACCAACTATATTATTTACACTAAATAATGATTTCCAGGTTATTTCAGATTCCCCACATTCCATTACTCCGCTGATAGGAAATCTTCCTATCAAGATGTATCCAACACTTAGGTTTTAGAAGCATAGCAAAGGTATGAATACAATAATTGATTTTATTTCCAAATGGCTCTGCAGATGACAGTTCCCGTTCCTGTTTGAAGCAAGTGACAAAGAGCCTAATGACTTCAGGAGAGGCAGACACGCTTAACAACTTCAGTGGGGGTTTGGATCATTAACAGTAATTGAATGCAGGACTCCAGGCCAAGTTCTGCCCTCAAATCAGACCAATTAAAGACTGAGACATTCAACTAGAGGGACATTTTCATCTCTTAAGCTTTCCTGCATTAGTTATATAGCAGTATGTTTTTTTCACCTCAATCCAATGCATTCAAGAAGAAAACTTGCACTCACTGACCGTTTCATCTGAAGACTAGGAAACAAAAGATTTTTGAACAAAACACTGTATTGCATGTCTTTTGGTGTTACCTTGAATGCAGCTATGCAGTGTAGGCTGAGTAACGTCATCACCAGCGCCAGGAACACTGTGGCTAAGTTTCTCATATCCCAGATGGACTCGATCAAAGGGATGCTGCCGACCTGCCAGTCATAGCACAGGGTGATCGGAGCCAGCAGAAGCCACGCATTGAAGGCCAGAAGGTAGGAATAAGTTAGAAACCTGCAAAAAAAAAAAAAAAAAACAGGTAACATAATGCATGGAATGACAGCCAACACATGAAACATTTTCCTTTGGTGATTACCACCTAGTATATGGGAGGAATTAAAAAAAAAATCATAACAAAAAACTCTGCACACACAGACAATACCATACCTCTCTGCCAATAAAGAGATGCTAACATAGGTGAGGGGCACTTCAATAAGTCATTTAAAGAAATAACATAAGATCAATATGGTTTCTATGCACCAGCCTTTGGAAAACTAAGAGATCTTTATCTTCCATTTGAATGTTAGATTTTTGAAGTGACTTTCTACCAGCTTCAATGATACAGGAATAATGACTAAGCAGGTACATACATTTATTGAACTGTTACACAGTTCACTGCATCACTCCTGCAATACTCCTCTAGCTCTTTTAACTTATAATTTCTCCTATGTGTGCAATATTGAGCAACTAAAGCCAGACCTCTCTGTCTTTTCTCTTTGCATCCTGGCACAGAGAGAAAATAGAGAAGAAAGGAGGCACAGGGTGATTCTTGGCTGATCCTATCACAGCTTATTATGGATGGGGACAGCTTGAATGAGATGTGCCACAGAAGTGATGGAGAAGTAGGGAGCCTTTCAAACTGCTGTAATCTTCATTAATTGGTATTCTCAGTAGAGAGGAAATTAATGGGGAATGGAAAAGGGGAACATGCTGCCCTCTGGGAAGTATGCAGGGCTTTCAGAAGACTGAACGAGAACAGCATGTATGCAACTTGGCTAAAGATAACAAGGAAAAATTAAAAAGAAAACAAGAAAAAAAATAAAACCAAACCAACATCCCCTCTTGTCCCCAGCCTTTGCTGCTTGGCATCTACTGCCCCAAAAGCGCATCCCCCCTCAAACCACATTTACAGAAGTTCAAGTACTTTTGTATGCAAGAGGCTGGAGATTGTTCCATCAATCATGAAATCAACCAAGCAAAATTGTGACAGACAGGCAAAACCCTTCTTTGGTTCGCAAATGGAAAAATCCACATTGTATACAGCACCAAAGATGGCAAGTACTCAAAAAGAAATGAAATTATATTCTATCCTACATAGGATTTCTTTCATCTGAGCCTGCTTTGGCTGTTGTTATCACACCCAGTTGCCATGGTACCTTAGCAGGTTTATTAAAATGGTAACAAAGGATGCCCAAAAGATGTCAAGCCATGTAAACAGAGGACTGTTTCACTCGCCACTTACAGACATGCCTCTTTGGGGTCAAAAAGCAGCCCCTTACAGCAGCACTTACAATAGTATATTGTATTCATTATAATGTTGTAATGTTTGTTCCCAGGCGGGTGTTGGGCCAAGACACAGCAATGAAACAGGCCTAAATTTTTCTGAAAACATTTTTAAATAACCACAAACAGTTAGGATATCAGTTTCTCTTCTCATCCAAAAAGCAAACGTCTCTAGCAGCACAGCAACCCAAAAGCAGGGAGGCTTACAGAGCTGGAATAATGTTTCATTGTAAACAGTGGAAAAGGCACATTCTCATTCGTCGGCAAATCTTTCTATGCTCCCATTTCTGATGGAAAAAAGGAGTATTTCCACATTTTTAAGGTTTTCAGCCATTTGGTATATTTCTCTTCCATCCCCCCCATTTTCCTCTCCTTTCCCACCCTGAGATGGTAAACAAGGAGAAAAGTGGGAGAAAATCCATCTTCTCTCTTAACAGAGGCAGCGTTAAGAAGCCAGTTTCTATTTAAGAAAGCATCCCTCAAAAACATAATCTAATTTTACTCAAACTCTTCTCACAATTTCAATTGTTCACTATTTCTAAAGAAACAAATATGTCTTTTCTAGTCACCGAACTAATCTTTTCTGGCCCGCATTACAGAGAAACACAGCAATGCAAAATCTGGTGGAGCTTAATCACGCCGAAGCGCTCTCTCATGGTGTTACTTGTGGCCTAGCCTCAACTCTTCTTGGCCACAATACAAAATAGTCTTCTGCATCAGCCTCAATATAACATCAGCTCAGGAAAGGTTGGCAGCATTTATTTACAGCTACTTATTTAAAAGCCAAACTGAGATCCATTTCTAGCTTTACTTTTAAAAGAAAAAGTGTGTCTGTTTATATCAGTCTGAATAATGTCATGGCATACAATATTGCTACAAGTGTGTATGTTAGACAGGATTTTCAGAAGCGTTGGAGTTAGCTTTGCATTTGATGCCATAGGAGAGCCCAGTTTTTGAAGACAGTGTCCTTTTATGCCTGGCATATTAACATTTTTCAATAAGCATCACAATATTCATGGAAGTTTGTATGCAAACCACAACACACACCAGAAGCCCTCTCCTACTTACTTAGACTGGGCTACTGGGTAGGAAGGAATGAGACAACATTTGGGATCTTTGCAAACTGCAGCATTGCAGTTAAAGTGGACTAGCTGCTTTTCTGCATCTTCACCGATAAGGCAGGAGCTGATAAATCGTTACACAGCACAGAAGAGATAAACAGAGTCTACTGCCATAACAAATTGAGTCAGTTTAAGAGGAATTCAGGGTAGCCAGATTAGTGTGTATTGATGCATTTCTGCTGGAAGGTTAGGACAAACTGCTGTTGAAGATGAAAAGACACACTCCAGGACACACACTGATCGGGAGATACTCAAACAGGTACCTCTTTCCATGTGCTTGTGGGGTTTCCATCTTCCTTGGGAGCCATGTGCACAACTTGCTGCCAGAGGCAGGTCCCGGAGGAGAGGGACAATCACTTCATTACATTACAGCAATAATTAGTGTCTTAAATAGCCTACCGCTGTTGGCAGAGCATATTTTAAAGCCTGTGACAGTCATTACCGTCTACGTATGGTCAGCTGGTTCACCTCTCCAGACATCCTGCTGGAGAACCCTTCGCCACGTCTCTCATCATCAAGCCTGAACATGCTCACTGAACGTGCATGTGCCATCAGCAAGCATGGAAGCAAGATCCAGGAGGGCAGTGCTTGATTTTAGGAGGCATTTGTAAGCTGCAAGAGAGCCTTGAGCGAGCTCTGATAAAAGTTTGGATATGCCTGCCCTTAGCGTTGGTAACCTCTCCTTGAATGTGATAGATGGTTGTATAAAATAAAGCACTATACAAACTATTGCTATTCTAGGTACTAGGAACAATAACAGCTACTAGAAAAGTAACAATAACATAATAGTTACTGACAATTCAGTGCTGCTTTTTACTTACAGCTCTCGAAAGCATGTAATGTTCCTTTATATCCATGTGGCTCTTGTATCACAAGGCTAACCAGGGAGAAAGCTAAATGCAAGAGAAACTTTGGAAGAACCATCTCACCCAAGCTAACACCTCAAGGAAATAATTTGCAAATTTTGCAAATAATTGAAGATTCATGGAATCATTTCAGGAGCTAATTACATTTCAGCAGTCTACCTGCAAAGGGCACAAAAGTATTTTCTTTTAATTAGTTGACTAAGTGAATTATATTTTAAATTAATGATCTTCTCTATATTGCTGCTCATATCTGCTGGAATTCCAAGGGAGAAGAATCCCTGCCTGTAACAACTCCCGCTCTATCAGTTAAACCCAGGCAAGACAGAATATTACTGGTGAGGTGACTGGAAGAATCTGCCTTTTAACTGGCAATCAGTTTTCTCCAAGGCTGGGTAACAGCATTTGCATTACAGCAGAGTCATTTTATTTTTTTTTTTATTTGCAAATTGAACACAGAAGTCCAAGTTTCAGAGGGTATTCGATTGTTTCTTTTCACTTCTCAGCATCTCTGGCGTGTTCAGAAAAACACAGCTCCTCCTGTAGGTAGCACGTGTTGTCATGGCAATTCAGTTAGTTTAGTTTTAAATTTTTTAGTTTAAATGTACTGTTGTATGCTTTGTTTGAGACAAATACAGGATGACTCATATCTGGAACCTGTTGCAGAAAACAACTATCTGAACTGATTGCTTCTGCTGCAAAAATGAAAGTAAAGGGTACTACTTTCATTTCAAAGCCACAAACAATATGACAGAAAAATACATGAGGGATTGTCTGTTACCCTTTGCTGAAATAGAGACTAGTGAGCTTGGAAAAGCCCTAGTCTCAGTTCTGTCAAACCCAGGCAATCAGAGCACGTGAGGATTGTGAGACTAGCTAAAAAAAAATACAAGATTTATAGAAATTTATGAGGAGTTTTATTTGCTTTCTGATTTTGGACCATTTTAAGCTTTCTTCTCCAGCTCCCAGAGACCAAAATTATAGATTTCTTTCTAAAACTGTGCTACATGAGTGATCACAAGACTCAGACCGTGCCCCATTGAAACTGCATGGAAAAGCAGGGGCCAGTGACCCTATTCTTTCTAGGTGCCTGTAGTGGTGCAGCCTACCACCTACTCAGTTCTGGGACAACCCATCTCATTCCTGACAACCAACCTTACCCGCAAAGACCCAACAGCAAGTGGAAGATCATCCTGCACTGGGTATTTTAGCAAGGCAAAATAATCTCCCTGTTGGGGAACAGAATGGACCTATCTAGAAGACAGGTGACAACAGTGCACTTAACTGGTATTTGGGAAAAAAAAAAAAAAAAAAAAAAAAGAGGGTGTAGGAAGAGAGGGGGGTATCTGAAACAGAAGCAGGAAGATAGTTGTTGCCCTTTTAGAAGTCACAGAACTTGTTAATGATCTTCTGAGAAGAAAACCTGCACACTGCCAAAGACTCAGAGAGGTTTCGGTTCACTATAAGGGAGAGAAAAGCTCCTTTATCAGGGAAAAGAGCTTCTCACTTGCATTAACAGCTGAACTGATTTCAGCTCAAGGCTCTCTTCATCCTCTACAAAGCTCTAAAACCAACTGTGTTTGATGAGCTGCTTCACAATGTCCTCTTAGGACACATGTGGCTGCAATTAGAGCCAGGTGGTGGTATTTAATGATATTGTCTTAAAATCGTATATATTTGCGATTCCCCTGGGGAACTGCCAGACCAGTCATACCTTCCCACATGAATTTATTTTCCTGCTCTATAT